ATAATGGTGGTGAGTATATTTCTAGAAATTTTAAATCCTTTTTTTGTTGTATAATTGCAGTATACTGCTGCATATAATCCCGAAATGAACGGAGTAGCTGAAATAATGAATCGTACTCTGACTGAAAAGGCGCGTGCATTATTGTTAGATTCACAGCTTCCTAAGGGGCGAGGCCCTGCGATATGCGGTATATGTCACTAATCGTAGTCCCACTGCTTCCCTTAATGTTACACCATTTGAAATGTGGGAGGGAAGACGTCCTAATGTGTCTAATTTTAGAATATTTGGGTCATCTGCATATATGCCCATATTCCCTAAAAACTCCGAATGAAGTTGGACCCTCGTGGTGTGAAATTGAAAATGGTTGGGTATGCTCCAGGGGGATACAGATTATGGGATGCTAATGAAAGGAGGATACGCATAGAACGAAACGTATTGTTTAAGGGAAGAAACATGCTCAGAGTCCCCTGAAACGATTAGTATTGACGTGGAGTCTATCTCGGATGGGAAGGAGAAGGATGGTGGTAGTATTCCTGAGAAAACCAAAACCCCTTTAATTTCTAAAGGTGGGCGAAACTGTTAACTGTTATATTTTTCTAATTCGTTATTTTGTTGTAATATATTTTTCTAACTGTTGTTTTACACGCGGTTAGTTCAGTTCAGTTGTTGGCTGTGTTAGCATTTTTTTTGTATGTTGTTATAACGATTACAAATGTTTAACGATTATAAGTATTATATGAAGACAAAAAAAATATTTTTAAGTTGTATTAGCATCATTTGAGTGTTTCATGTTTTAAAAGAGAATCATTTAAAATATGTATGTTAAGTTTAATGAACTTCCCTTCCTACTTTTTACAGGCATAGGACTGTCTGAATGTATGTTAAGCTGTGTAATTATTGTATCTGTTATAATTATTTACTCATATTTTCAAACATTTTAATAAATATAACTCATTCAGGCGTGGTTAGAAGTTTATGGATGTTATGTACATTTTGATTGAATTTTTACATTATTTAAACTGTGGTCAAAGTTTTAGTTATCTACAATTATTAACATTTTTTTCAGTTACATTATTTTTATTATTATATTATTATTATTATTATTCAAAAACATTATTTGGTTTACTTTTGACGACGTAAGCCTTGTGAGTCTATCCGATATTAAATCCGAACGGCAAAACTCTTCATACACTCCTACGTGTCTTTGCTTAAGGTGAAGTTTTAAATTTGTAATTGTACTTTTGAAAGATAAAGTTTTTTTAATTGCACACTGCTTTTTTTCGTCCACACTTTGGACTTAGACTTAAAATAGTTCCAAATGGCTGCGCTATGCTGACGCGACATTATTATACACTTTTACATACAACACGCTAAATCCTATCTATATTACACTAAATATTTAAAATTACTTTAGGAATAAAACTTAACGAAAAATAAACAAAAACAACAATAGCTTTTTCACGTAATATGGGGACCTGCTATCAAAACATTACGTATATAATTTAACAGATAACATTGTCATTGTCATCTCAGCTAGACAGCTAACTGAACACTAATATATTACAACAGCCAAAAAATTAAAAAACAATCACAACAGGCAACAGCTAGCAATGAAAGAAATAATATATTTTTGTTTACCGTTATAATTTAGTGTTAGTAAAATAAGCTCTTATTAAGTTAGCTTAGAGTTTAAATTAGTGTAAGCTATCCTATATACGCAATCCTTGTGGCATAATGAATGTAGTATTTTATTGACTCCAATTGTGGTGCCGCGTCTCGGCCGACGGCTGGACCGTAAACGTAAACAGATGACGTTTTCTAACGATAATGAATATATTATAACAGTCAATGGTTTATTATTCTAATGTGTTGTAAGATTACAAATATATAATGAAATATATTATCTGTTGTATGTTATAACGCCCAACTTTATTAATTTCTGATAAAACCCAAACCCATGGTACTGTGAAAATTTTAACTTCTGATAATAATTTAGAGTCATTACAACCTGAGGGAAGGGATACAGATAATGTTAATTCTAGGGAGAAAAGAAAGAAAACTAAACCAAAATATTTACAAGATTTTGTCACTGATGATTCAGATTTAGGTGATATATTAATGGCATCATTTTTATCTTGTTCTAATGGTAATGTCCCAGAAAAATATAATGATATAGATTCTTATGACGATAAAGATAGGTGGTATGAAGCGGTAAATGAAGAAATTAAATTTTTAGAGGATAACAAGACTTGGGAAGTCGTAGAAAGACCAAACGATGCTAAGTTAATTGATTGTAGATGGATTTTTACAAAAAAGTCGGGTAATGTATATAAAGCTAGATTAGTTGCAAGGGGGGTTTCAACAGGAAGGTAGTTTTACCGAAATTTATTCTCCCGTTTTGAAATTACAAACTCTCCGAGTACTTTTATCATTAGCTGTTCAAAGGAACTATTTAATTCATCAAATGGATGTTAAAGGTGCTTTCCTTCATGGTGAAATTGATGATGGTGTATACTTAAAGCCCCCACCTGGTGTAAATATAAATACAAATTATTTCTTGAAATTGAAAAAATCACTTTACGGTCTTAAAAAATATTCAAAAAATTGGTACAATAAATTTTATGATTTTATGAAAGGTAAAGGGTTTCAAAGAGCAGAAAGTGATTATTGTTTATATTTTAAGGATGGTATTTACATTTTGTTGTATGTGGATGATTTTTTAATTTTAGGTGAGGACAATTCAAGGATAAATAATGTTAAAGAAATTTTAAGCACAGAATTTAAAATGAAAGATCTAGGATCTAAAAATTTAAAATATCTGGGTATTAATATTATTCAAGATAGTGACTGTTTGTATATTAACCAGAAAGAGTATTTAAAATCTATATTGACATGGTTTGGTATGTCTGAAGCAAATGCTAGTGAATCACCCATGGAAGTTAATGTTAATCTTGATGATTGTACGGTTGATTACTCTTTAGAGCATAAATGCAGAGCTTGTATAGGTTATTTAATGTATGCTGTAGTAAGTTCAAAACCTGATTTGTGTGCTGCTGTTTCATATTTAGCAAGATATCGATCTAGACCATCAGAAATGTTATGGCAATGCTTGAAAAGGATTTTAAGATACATTAAGGGTACCATTAATTATAATTTAAAATATAATAAGAATTGTAATTCCGAACCACTAGTTGGATATGCTGATGCTAGTTTTGCTGTAGATAAAGATAGGAAATCTATAACTGGTTATGTATTCAAAGTATTAGATAACAGTGTTATTTGGCGTTGCAAAAAGTAGAGCACTGTAGCTTTAAGCACTACTGAGGCAGAGTTATATTCCCTCAATGAAGCCGCTCTGGAGGCTTGTTGGATTAGGAAATTATTAAATGAATTAGACGTTAGTTGTAATACCACTACCATATATGAAGACAATAAAAGTACAATATTTTCTGTATATAAAATGTTTGTATGTAATGTCTGTATGTTTCAAAAAAAGAATGAAACATGTGGACATAAAATACAACTTTATTAAACATAAAATAGAATATAAGGAAATTTGTGTTATGTATATCCCTACAAAGCAACAAATAGCTGATATTTTTACGAAACCATTAAATAAAACCTCTCATAATTATTTCGTACATAAATTAGGATTGGAATAGAGTTTAGTTCGCATTTTGTATTTTTAGTTTGTTAGTTTTGTTAATACAAATCATTGTATTGTTAGTTCTTACTTATTCATTGTAGTGTTTAAAATTATTGTAATGTTAGTTCTGTTAATCTAAATCATTGGGAGGAGGTGTTAATTAACAATGATTTATATAATATTGTATTTTAATGGCAACACTGCGTCGGTTGTCAACACTGTGTCTGTGGTTATGAAGGAAGATTCAATATGACGTTATAGGCTCTCCATCTTGTTGTTTTGAGGTTAATAAAAAGCACGTTTTATGTTCAAAGTATTATATCTTTAATTATCCCCATAATCCTTAACATGTTCGTTTAGATACGGTCGGTTTTGTGCCGCGCCGTCTCAGTACGTGCCGTATTTTGTCAAAGGTGTGACTGTAAAGCACCCGAAACGTCGGGAATCAAAAGTTAAAATTTAACGCCATAAAATCTGTGAAATTAGTTTAATTTAATGTGTAGTGTTCGCGTAAATTTAAGAAGTCATAATTGTACACTTGGCGAAATTCTAAAACATTTTTAAGAAGAATAATATTGGTGTCAAGGGCAATTATAAAACTATTTAATCTATTGATATAATTACAGCTAGACATTACCTCCCAAATGTTCAAGGATGGTACAGCAGTATCGGCTAAACTTCTTTTATTGATAACTTGGGGTATGAAATATGATTTATCAAAATCTCCTATGCAGATGACACTGCAGTAATATTTACTGATGTCTTCTGAGATTCTGTACGTAGATCTGCTGAAGAAGGCCTTGTTAGAATCGCCAAGTAGCTGAACACGAACCTACTTACTTTAAATAGTTTGATAACTAGTTATACTAACCGTGCGGTTGAAGATTGGGATTGAAAATGGCGTCGCCTTTATTTACCTCTCGCTTGCACACTGTCGCTATCTATACTCATAACCCACCGGTAGAGACTACAAAAATATGTTGCAATATGCATTTTTCGTACGTGCTAAAACTTCAGTTCAACTTGTCATTGATATAAGTGGTAACAAAATGCCATAAACTAAAAAAAACTATTCCGGTTTTGCAAATTTATGAGCTAGACGCGTTTTGAGAGTTCTTTTTCATTTTTTATTTTGTTATTAATTTTTTAAGTCGCTGTTATTGGTTTTGATTATTATTGTAAAGCGTTTACAGAGGAGTATGCCTTGCGATGCCATCTCCTTTGGTTTAATACTCAAAAACACATGCATTGTATAATTGTCTTATTGGGGGGATAATTATAGTAATTGCCACGCTTGCAGGTGAGGGGCTTAATTTTGGTTTAAAAGTGTTAAAAGTCAGTAATTTTAACTTACAACAGCCACCCCTTTCTTTTTCTTAACAGCTTCCACAACAGGCACCGAAACTAATCTCTCCACTTCAGCCTCCTGTTCTTGTTCGCGATTTCGAATTTCTGAACGCACCTGGAATGGTATCAGAAAATTATAAGTATAAGTTTTAATAAGTATAGTTTAAAAGCATAAATTATAGTCATATTTTCATCTCATCGTATTGATTATGTAAGAAAATACACTATCACCCTATCTCATTCCATGGCTTTTTTCTAAGAGCTGCAAGATCCTACTGGTCTCATATATTTTTTTATATAGAATAAAAGTTACAAAGAAGCATACAGTCCATCTGATGGTAAGTAGATGCTGCGGCTCATAGACATTTTACCCGATTGAGAATCAAAACGCAGATGCGTTGTCACCCCCGAGGACAAAGATGGAATGCCTTATTTCCAGTAAAAATGGATCTCCGGTTCTCTACACTCACGATATGAAACACAGCAGCATTAGTTGCTATTTTACGCCGGTATTCTGTGAGAATGCTATAACTATAACCATAATATAGCTGCAGCTTGTCTCTACCACATATTTCCATGGAAAGGGTGATATTACCTGTAAATAATTGTAGTTATAATATTGTGTCCCGCCGTAACCAAATACTTAGTCACTGTGCTATTAAGCCGTCAAATAAATGATCCTAAAATAGAGAGACTACATCACCCCATTTCAGTTGTTTTAAAAGACAACTATGGGAAACGACAGAACAATCTTATTGCTACCGATAGGTCCATCTCGTCACACGTAAAATATCCAGACCATTGAGCATCAACGACGAAACTACTCAAATATGTTTTTTTTTATTTATATAGAAGAGGGGGCAACGGAGCATACGGTTCACCTGATGTTAAGTGACTACCGCCACCCATGAACATCCACAACACCAGAGGAATTGCAGGCGCGTTGCCGGCCCTTTAGAAAGGAGTAAGCTCTTTTATTGAACATCCCCAGGTCGTATCGGTCCGGAAAAATCGCCGGTGGTAAACTATTCCACAGAGCGGTCGTACGCGGAAGAAAACTTCTACTAAAACGTAAAGAGTGGAGCGCTAAGTATCCAGATGGTGTGGATGGAATCGGGAGGTTTGCCGCGTAGTGCGTTCATGAAATTTGGCGGCTGGGATTAATCCGAACAATTCCTCAGAGCACTCCCCGTGATAGATGTTGCAGTACGCAAGCAACAATCTGTCTGTTAAGCATGATCGAACAATTCCTCAGAGCACTCCCCGTGATAGATGTTGCAGTACGCAAGCAACAATCTGTCTGTTAAGCATGATCGAACAATTCTTCAGAGCACTCCCCATGATAGATGTTGCAGTACGCAAGCAACAATCTGTCTGTTAAGCATGCTCGAACAATTCCTCAGAGCACTCCCCGTGATAGATGTTGCAGTACGCAAGCAACAATCTGTCTGTTAAGCATGCTCGAACAATTTCTCAGAGCACTCCCCGTGATAGATGTTGCAGTACGCAAGCAACAATCTGTCTGTTAAGCATGCTCGAACAATTCCTCAGAGCACTCCCCGTGATAGATGTTGCAGTACGCAAGCAACAATCTGTCTGTTAAGCATGATCGAACAATTCCTCAGAGCACTCCCCGTGATAGATGTTGCAGTACACAAGCAACAATCTGTCTGTTAAGCATGATCGAACAATTCCTCAGAGCACTCCCTGTGATAGATGTTGCAGTACACAAGCAACAATCTGTCTGTTAAGCATGATCGAACAATTCCTCAGAGCACTCCCTGTGATAGATGTTGCAGTACGCAAGCAACAATCTGTCTGTTAAGCATGATCGAATAATTCCTCAGAGCACTCCCTGTGATAGATGTTGCAGTACGCAAGCAACAATCTGTCTGTTAAGTATGATGATCGGGACAAATCGTCCTTATAACAGGAGATACACATGAACATTGGACAAATAAAGAGAAAAAAATTATAATGGTAAAAATCTTAAGAGCTAAAATATTATTATTACCTTTTGCAACAAAGCATAATCTAGTCCCTTTACCAAGTGAGTGTGCTCCATATCACCACCAAGGTATTTTGATTCCTGTAACAATATGTTTTAGGTTACTATAATATTGGAGCTTGAACAATAGGGAGACTAACTGCTGGGAAAGCATCTATCACTTAAGAAGTTAAGAGTAGAGAATAGGTGACCACAGTGTCTCAATACATTATAGCTAGATTCATATGTCTTAAAATATTTTTAAGACATATGAATCTAGCTATAATACGAGCGGAACCAGGGCTCCAAAGTCTTTGCCAGAGATCTGTCTGCCAGAAAGAGCCAACTGTCAAGGCTGAAGACTGAGTGTGGCAACATCGTTTCCGGGACACCTGAGATTTTGAGTGAGATTGAGAGGTTCTATGGGCAGCTGTACACATCATCGTTGGAGCCACATGCAAGTGTGAGTAACGATCCAAGAGCAAGTCTTATCCGACACTATTCCGATGATATCCCGGACGTCAGTCTAAGCGAGATTAGAATGGCTCTCCAGCACCTTAAAAACGGCAGGGCCCCAGGCGAGGATGGAATTACAGCGGAGCTTCTGAAAGCGGATGGAACACCGGTACTTGAAGTCCTTCAGAAGCTCTTCAATTCCGTCCTCCATGGTGGCACTACTCCAGAGGCGTGGAGCAGAAGTGCGGTGGTCTTGTTCTTTAAGAAAGGCGACAACGCTCTCTTAAAGAACTACAGACCGATATCCCTTCCGAGCCGCGTCTACGTGCTGTTTTCGAGAGTCATTACGAATCGTCTCGCACGCAGACTTGACGACTTCCAGCCTCCCGAACAAGCCGGTTTCCGAAAAGGCTTCAGTACCATAGACCACATACATACCCTGCGGCAGATTGTACAGAAGACTGAAGAGTACAATCTGCCACTTTGCCTGGCGTATGTGGACTATGAGAAAGGCTTTGATTCCGTCGAAATTTGGGCGGTGCTACAGTCCCTTCAGCGGTGCCAAGTTGACTGTCGGTATATCGAAGTGCTGAAGTGTTTGTACAGTAGGGCTACGATGGCTATCCGAGTACAGAACCAGAGCTCGAAACCTATCCAACTGCAGAGAGGTGTAAGACAGGGTGACGTTATATCCCCGAAACTCTTCACCGCTGCATTGGAAGACGTTTTCGAGCTACTGGACTGGAAAGGATACGGTATTGACATCAATGGCGAGTACATCACTCACCTTCGATTTGCCGACGATATAGTCCTTATGGCAGAATCGCTGGAGGACTTAAGCACTATGCTCAATGACCTCAATAGTGCCTCCCAACGGATAGGTCTTAAGATGAACATGGACAAAACAAAGATCATGTTCAATGTCCATGTCACACCTATGCCGGTAGTTGTTGGGAGCACTATGCTCGAAGTTGTTGACGAATACGTTTACCTGGGACAAATAGTCCGACTAGGTAAGTCCAACTTCGACCGAGAGGTCAATCGACGGATTCAACTCGGCTGGGCAGCGTTCGGGAAATTACGGCATATCTTTTCGTCAGGTATACCTCAATCTCTAAAAACTAGATTGTACAACCAGTGCGTGTTGCCAGTGATGACTTACGGATCTGAGACGTGGTCCTTCACTGCTGGCCGTATGAGGACGCTTAAGGTCGCTCAGCGAGCTATGGAGAGGGCTATGCTCGGAGTTTCTCTGCGTGATAGACTCAGAAATGAGGATATCCGCAGTAAAACCAGAGTGACCGACATAGCCCAACGGATTAGTAAGCTGAAGTGGCAATGGGCCGGCCATATAGCTCGAAGAACCGATAACCGATGGGGAAGAAAGGTTCTCGAGTGGCAGCCTCGTACCGGTAGGCGTAGTGTAGGGCGACCCCCCACTAGATGGAGTGACGACCTGGTAAGACATGCAGGAAGTCGATGGATGCAGGTGGCTCAGGACCGTGCTTTGTGGCATTACTTGGGGGAGGCCTATGTTCAGCAGTGGACTTGTGAAGGGCTGTAATGATGATGATGATGATGATGAAAATATTTTTAATTATTTTGCTGACTGCAAAAAAAGTAAGAAATTCTATTTTTTTTTGCATGTATGTTACTGTTCTTAATATCTATTTTTTTTAGGCATTTAGTTACTTTAGGCACTAATTTAATTTACTATTTTCTTCACCACCAAACCTGCACTTAAAATTGAAATTAATAATTTTAGTGAACGAGTAAAAACCTTGTCCTAGATCTAGTAGGGTTCATTTTATAAATAGAATATAAATTACGCAACTCAACCTTATAAGACTCATACACTAATACATATTATTAAGAGAGAGTGTTCGAATTTTTTTGAGCATGTGTATGTGTATTATACTATTTGAAAGAAATTATTACAGATGGACATAGACGATATATTATGTATTAAAGTTAGATGATATTCTCCAACTAAGTCGGAAAAACTCACACCTTTTGAGAGCTTTCATAGCATGCGCTAAGTCAATAGTTAAAGTTGCATGCAAATATGACATAATATGTCTGTCTTTTAAAAATAAATGACAATAACCATTTTTATATGAAAACTCTTATGGGACCAAATAATTATGGTGGCAGCAGACCTCTAGCCTTTATTATAAAATTAAATTATTCATAATAACATTTAAATCTCACAATAATTACTGAATTACATAAAAGCAATTCGATAATTCTTTTAACAAATAATGGAGGAAATAATAGACCTGAATTAACTGTCTTCTTCTTTCCTTGGCATCCATTCCTGACTTTAGATCTGGTGCTACAGCTCTGTAAAGATAGACATATATTAATTGCAAATATAAGAATAAATGTAGTTTGTGAATCCTGCTATCGTTCAAGAAAAATAGAAAAGTATGAAAAATATTTGTTGAATAATTGCTTGGGTTGTGACTGCTTGTTCATGTGGAATATATATAAACCACCTTCACAATCCAGGAATAATTCTTAGTGTAAGAGTAACATTTTCAAAATAGATTCGAATTAGGAAAGTAGATGTGATTTTGCAACTTTTTTTAAATCTTAGTAGTCTATAGATAAAATATATGCCGTGCAGTGGTGGTGGAGTTGAAATAGAACCAACCATTCCATATTACTGTGTGGGTGGGTAGGTCGTGAGTTTTTTATTTATTATGCATATGTCTTTTAGAATTATCCATTGTAAAAAGTTGATGATTTAATAAGGCCATAGAAGTGAAGCGGTGAGGCATCTGGTATTATAATGCAGATTTTGACTGTAGGTACAACTTTCTAAATAATTTTGTAACTAACACACTGCAAGAAATACTGAGGAGCTAACAAATTGACAAATAAGGAAATATAGAAATGAGGAAATACATAAATAAGGCTTTCCATTTTAGTCCTCATGGGTGACTACATATCGGCTTTTTGATATGTAATCGAAGATAGATGTAGTTATCTATGGGCCACAGCAACCACTTACCCTACTATAAAAAAAGGCACTCATTTGTCCCAACTTACTAAGCATTGTCCAACCAAATAATTTGTTAGAGTTCTCATAACTTTAATGATATGTAGCATATTTATTAATAACGCATATATATTAATAATGAGCCATATGCTCGTTTACCCCCTCTCCTATTAAAAAATACATTTGCCTAGTGTAGTTATTGCATTAAAAGGTACCTGTATGCACTACTGGTGTTGCTAGTTGGATCTGTTGGTCCAATGTCATTAAGACCATCTCTCCTTTCACGGACCCTATCTCTGTACTTCTCAGCTAGTTCAGCTAGTTTGTCGTCTTCTTGTTTCTTCAATGCTGCATAGTAGGATTTCTTTTTACGACGCAATTCACTTTTGTTTTCAGCGGGTGGAGGCATCGACCTAGAAATAAAGTGTACTAATAAGCAATTACACATAACTCGTACAAAAGTTATAGTATTCATGTCACCAATGAAAACTCTTGTACATTTCAAAATTAAAACAGAAAAAAAAAATAAATGCAAGTGTTATTCAGTCTTCAATACTTATGCAACTATAATCCATTTTAAGATATATCTTAAGAAAAAAATGTATATTTTCAACAAACATGAAATATGTTATGTTATGTAGTTATGTTACTATAACTATGAAATGCATTTGTGCCATGTACCCGGCCCTAGGGGGAGGTACAGACATCCTTTCTGTCTCCCACTAGGGTAATTCCTGTCTGGCGCATCAATGACGCGCGGGTGGTTGCCGTTTACTTCAGTAGGCCGGGGGTAAATTGGTGGCCAAATTCAGGCAGGGACCCAGTGCTGTATGTATAACAGTCCCTTACACAAGGTTACGGGTAAAGACTTCAATGGCTGCGAAGGCGGAGATAATAGTTATCAGTATGGCGGAGCAGACGGAAGAAGCACAAACCCAGTAGAAAGCTGCTCTCACATATTGAGACCACAGGTTACACAAGAGCTGCAACAATATACAGGGTGATGTAGTAGGGATGGCGGCGGAAGAGACCTCGGTCCAACGGCGGCTCAAAAGCCCTTCAGTAGGGTTACTGCTTTGGCGTCAGGTGGCAACCGGCCGTAAAACAAATAGCCAAAACATTTCCTCCTCACACGAAAGCACAAGACAACAAATACAAGGCAAAATACTAGGGTGTATATACCCCCCTGAAGCGATGATCACTTGAACAAGAACAAACATTTGCATTTACATACTATTTAAAAAAAGACATGTGGCACTCGGGGACTGCCGCGGTAAAGCTATTGCATAGCATTTTGTATCAACTTATGCAATTATAATTATTAATATAAGGACTACGTAAATATTCAGTACAGCAAGATTGGAAGAAAAATGACGTCCAATTTTTTTTTTAGATTTTGACATTTCTGTGATCAGTATGACAATTCGCGAACATTGCGCTAAGTCTCCTATTTGGCGTCCGTATATTGGACGTCGTAAGCAGGTTGACGTCACATTATATGTAAAATTGACCATAGTGGACGTACAATAAGTTACGGGATGTGTGTATATATATATATATATATATATAAATTCATTCTTCATTATGTATATAACAGAAGCCATCGAACCAAGCACGTGTACTATTCAGTACCTTTGGTTTTGGTGTATAGATAATGCACATGAATGCTGCGCAGAGAAAGTATATATGATATATCTATATAAATGTACATCACGCAAAATTCGATAATCACTTCTTAATATCGTTATTTTTTTTTTATCCCTAAACTTTACAATCCAGGATTACAAATCAAGTTATGGGTTCGATTCCCACTTTGGCAAATGTTTAGTAAGTACTTGGTTTATGACATTTCACATATTTACCTCTCGTGTAGTTTGGATCTCCTCAAGTATTTCTACTGTGACATCCTATATTGTATTCTTTGTGTCCTACAACAGTAAAATATAAAAATAAAATAGGTATGAAAAATATGAAAATTGCTAGCTATCTCAATGCTTTATGGATGCTCACATTATCTGAAGACTTGTTTTCAACATTGACAAGTTTATTTATCCCATCCACTTTGATTTTATTTTGCGATGGCTCCCCAATCTACAATCAATGCAATAAATAATTAAATTAATAATGGTAATTAAGCAGGGATTTTTTTTGATAACTATATCATTAAGTAAACTTTAGTAGGTATGGTATTTAGGTAGAAAAGGAACAAATATATTTATTACGCAACATTAAAGTTTGTACTGGGTAGAGATAAAACTTGCGACCTTTAACTTAGAATCTTGACGTATGTAATACCTGATTTATTTCATCAGAATCAAATTCATTGGTGTCAATGACAAATTCGTTAGGGAGCCATGAACAAATGTCGTCTGCATTTTCAGGGTTCGTAGTTGGATGTGGACCACCACCAGTCTGGCGAAGATTCTTTCGTTCGACAGACTTAATTTTCTTTTTTGTCATTTTAATGATGCTCCATTGGGATTTTATTTGGGGAAGAGTGCGAGTGCCACCTTTACACATACTGTTGAAACTGGAAAAAAGTATAATCACAATTTATACAAATATTTGACATTTTAATATTCAAAATGGGCCAATCACAATGCAAGCGATCCTGAGGACTTTTCTGCGCTTTATCATAGTAGATCAACCCGTCCAATCCTATGTTTTACGAACTACGTGGACTGCCCACTGTTATGACTTTAAAAGCTTATATGCATTAGACCAGCAAGAGACGAAGTGACATGCTTCTGTTGCATAATAATGTAACTAATCGTATATAGAATATCATTGCGTTGAAGACTCATCTTCAAACACTTCACACATTGATAGACAAAAATATGTACCTGCATAATAAATCTGCCCATGCTGCTAGCTTTTTTGAGCTTGTATTTGTATCAGTATTTTTATTTTCAATTACTGATACACGCTCCCTTACCAAATCCATCAATAAATGCTATGGAAAGAAAAAGGATACTATTATAACAACACAGTTAACTAACATTTGTGCACTAATCACCTATGAGAAAATTACTTTAGTCACAAACTAACCTTATCTTCCTCCAGCCAATTTTCACTTCTTTGCCGCTTTTTACATGTAACGTTTTCCATTATTTTTATTGAGTTATATATGAATATAAAACAAATCAATTTCTTGAATCGATTTAACTAAAACACCACGCTTGTTTTGAGGGAAATGTCACAATTGCTGTCAAACTCTTTTTTTACCGTGGCTTGTCTATGGATTCATCAGAATGACAACATAATAAAACTAAAGTAGGTATTCCATAAATATGATGGTTAACTATGACAGGTTTATTGAACGTTTATGAATAGAGAATTTTATAATAGGTTTAATAGTACTATTGAGCATTTTAACTAATCACTGTTATAACACCATTTTAGTGGATTTTTATGAATAAGACTGTTATAGTAGCTGTTGGTTATTCAGGAATATTTGTCATTGACACTATAGGTTTGTGATAACTGAAATAAGAAACATAAGTTTGCGACTTAATATCCTCTAAATACCTAGAAAATACCGCGTCAATGGTGGTCCCATATTTTGTTGTGGACTCTTGTGGATTATTATTCATTTTCAAATTCAATGTTTTTGATAGAAAAGTTGTCAACCGCTCTGATTTTTTATCAGCGAAGTTAATGTTGAAATCGCCAGCCAAGATAAGTGGAATTTTATTACCATTTGTACCAAGTATTTTCGACCCTTCTTCAGTGTACTCCAGTAAAATGCGATGAATAAAATGCTCTACTTCGTCCAATTTTGGATTCGGAGAAATGTAAATTGCAACCATAACTATTTGTAGGCCATTTCTAAGTTTGCATAAGCACGCACAAATATCTCAAACAACTGAGCGCCTAACATTAACATCGCTAACGTGTGCAATATTTATTTCAATATTCGGAGTCATGATATTAGTAATATCATTTTTATTTTGGTAAATAGCTACCCCACCTTTTGCAACAGCACCTCGTTTGAACTGAACAATACAATTAAAATTAGGTATTTCAATCGGATTATCATACGTCATGCAAGTTTCGGTAAGAAGTAACACATTTATAAGCCCGTGGACATAACTAGTTTTGTGAATCAACTTCTTTTTCAAATGCACATAAAAGCAATGGTCATCTTCAATGTTTCTTGGCAATTGTTTCACCATTGTATTAACTTCAACAGGTACATTAATTATCTGGCCATAAATACCATACTGACCATTAACGTGTCTCAGTCTACGAATCTGCATGAACGGTATTCTCGGGGAAATCAACCGTTGCTCGATAAGGTTTAACGTTGGTAAATGTGATGGAATTTTCGGATATGCAAAACCATTGTAGGTTGACATGAGAGGAATTTTTTCTTTTCCCAAAGATGTATAACACGTAGAGCAGACTTGAACAATTTCACCAGGTATGAAATATTCTAAAAAAAATCAAATTCGTATTATCAAGATATAGAAAGAAAAGAAAAATATAAAGTGAATAATTAAAAAATAAAATTACCTGCAGTATTGTTTTCAAAATACTTTCATGTTTACTGGCCCACTTTTTCAAGTCTCCTTTCCACCATAGTCTGTCGCAAATGATACAATAATGACCGAATGAATTACTCGTAAATTCTTTATAAAAATCAATATTACTTGTACTGTGTTTACGATAATTTGTATAAACTGGAATAGTACTATCATCAATAAAATACATAGTATTTTCACCAATTCGATCTTCTCTATCAATCTCAATTTCATTTTCATGATTGTTATGGTTATCTTCGGTAGGATCTTCATCATAATTATCATGCAATAGTTCAATATTGGCATCAACATGGGCTTCATTTTGGGTAGCATCTTGTACTGTCTCCAATAAATCTGATACTTCATAAAAAGGTGTGAAATGTTGTTCACGAAAGAATTCAGTTTTGTGTATCATTCGCTTTAAAATGACAAAAGATACTGTCTTCATTCGTTGTAGTTATGTTGTAAAAACAATAATGTACACAAATATTTTGATTGTACATTTTTGAGAATAAGTACAAACAATCCAAATCTCCGTAATCATTACTGCTTGATAGAATGTTATATGCTTCGGATGTTATAGGCGTGCGGATTGTGGCAGGAGTTTAAATAGGGTGAATCGCGTAACTGATTTCTCAAGTCACAACTCTCAATTTGAAGTTGCAAAACACTTATGAGCGAGTGGAATAGACAATTACCATCGCCAGGAATTCCTGTGTTTCTGTGTAGAATAACTTCGGGAGTAATGCATTCATTACGCTGTTCATAAATATGAAGTTGTTGGCTATGAAATTGATTTTCTTGTAGCGTTACATTTTCTATATTTTCAACAGCGCTACATTGCACGATATTCTCTTCATTACTGCACAATTTTCGTCCTTTTCTGTAAAAAAATGATGAAATCGTTAAATTAAATAATATTGAAGCATATATTACAATTTGTTTTTAAATAAATAAATAAAAAATATTATTATTAAATCAAATTACATATCCATGTAACGTTGACGAAATTTCCTTTGACGTTCAGCATTTGATTTTGGTACTGTTTTTTGTTCTTCATTTTTCTTCAAATCTTTCTGACGCTGATAATATGCCCTTTGACGTGCATTAGTTTTTTTTTCTTTCTAGCTCTTTACGCTTTTCTTCTCTATAAAACGAAAATATCTAGGTATAAATAATAGGTATAAATAATTTGTATAAATAGTGTAATGACACACCAAAACAAAATTATTCATTTAAAAAAAAATAACGATATTAAGAAGTGATTATCGAATTTCGCGTGATGTACATTTATATAGATATAATATCATATATACTTTCTCTGCGCGGCATTCATGTGCATTATCTATACACCAAAAACAAAGGTACTGAATAGTACATGTGCTTGGTTCGATGGCTTATGTTATATACATAATGAAGAATGAATTATATATATATATATATATATATATATATATATATATATATATATATACATCCCGTAACTTATTGTACGTCCACTATGGCCAATTTTACATATAATGTGACGTCAACCTGCTTACGACGTCCAATATACGGACGCCAAATAGGAGACTTAGCGCAATGTACGCGAATTGTCATACTGATCACAGAAATGTCAAAATCTAAAAAAAAAATTGGACGTCAATTTTCTTCCAGTCTTGGTGTACTGAATATTTACGTAGTCCCGCTAATTTTCGTTGCAAAAACAATAGCGCTGTCCTCGATTTGTGAATACTTTCATTTATGGCCGTATTTGACTTCCGCACAAAATATAGGAGATGCGACGTTGCCGTTCCGTCACCGTTGCCAACGTGTTACTTGTATTTGGTGATATATGGTTATGACTGCCTCGTTGGTCTAGTGGTTGTAGTAGTGCGACTGCTGATCGTGAGGTCCTGGGTTCGAATCCCGGGTCGGGCCAAAAAATCAATTATTGAGTTTTTCTGTCAAAAAATTCTCAATAGCTGCCCGGAGTCAGGAAGTTGGAGGTGTATCACCCTCGTGCCTCGGAAAGCACGTAAAGACGTTGGTCCTGATCTCTCTCCGGTCGTGTCGGTTTACCGTCCCATCGGATTATGAGAATGAGGGAATAGAGAGTGCACCTGTGGTTGCGCATACACTTGGGCATGGGCACTATAATCCTGTCCTGCGCCGATGGCTTGGTAAAATATTATTATCATAATAGACATTATATTCCCTTTAAAATGACACCAATATGAATAATGTCTTATATCTATATCTACAAATAAATAAAATTGAAGTGTCTGTTTGTAATGTTAAAACAACATCGTTTTATTAAATGCATATAAAAGTACTAGTAACAAAAACACAATTTTTAAAATTTTTATCTGTCTGTCGGTCTGTCTGTCTGTCTGTTTGTTCTAGCTAATCTCCGAAACAGCTGGATCTATTTTGACGGGACTTTCACTGGCAGATAGCTGATGATATAAGGAATAACTTGAACTACTTTTGTTTTAGAAAAAGAATTAGGGTTCCGCGCAAAAAAATTAAAACCCATGAAATCCATATTCCACGCGGGCGAGATCGCGGGGAACAACTAGTACTCAATATAGATAAATGTATACTTATTTTTATTTATTTATTATTTTAATAAATAAATAAAAATAAGTTTTAATAATTTCTAGACACATCTCAACAGATATTTCGTTAATAATATAGCTTAATAATTTCGTTAATAAAATAGCATCCATTTAACACAAAAAAACTGATAAGAATACTTTTTAAACAACATATAATCAATAAACGATAATCGCGTATAGTGAATTTCGAGGTAAATTATTATATGTAAACGTTTTTGAATCGTCGTAATGATACATATTTCCAAAAGAAAATATCTTCACAATTAATTTGATGTAAAATAACATTAGAAATAACGTATAAAAACGGAGAAATTATCAAATTTTTGATCGAGTTCCTAACCAGTACACAATCAAAAATGGCGAATAGTCATTTTCACATTTTTTTAGAAATAACGTATAAAAACAGAAAAATTATCAAATTTTTGATCGAGTTCCTAACCAGTCCACAAACAAAAATGGCGAAATGTCATTTTCACATTTTTTTTCTATATAGTTATTTGTTACAGAGTACACAGATAAAATTCACTCTCATAGATGACAAATTTCAAACACCACAATCTCTAATTTTTTACTCTGCTATCTTCAGCGCTGCACACGAACGGAACGATGTCGTTGAGAGCCGTGGTTGCTCACATGGTTAGCGCTCGTTATAGGTATCACAGTACGGGAGCAACCCGAGTTCGATCCCCACTGGCACCAATGAAATTGTTGCGTGCTGATTTAGCTATCAGTTGGAAAGTCTGTTTTTCTGGGCCGTTTTGTTTTGTTACACTGACATCTCGCAAGTCACCTAGGGACCTAGGGAGGTTGTCGGTTGCTTATTTTTTATTTTTCTTTAAAATTTTCGTCGGTAAAATAATATATTTATAAAAGTAAAAAAAAGTAAAGTTACAGCCTATATACGTCCCACTGCTGGGCACAGGCCTCCTCTAATTTCTGAGAGGGTTTTAATGCAAGGAAATGTCCGCCACGCTGCCTCAATGCGTGTTGACGAACTTCACATGTCTTCGAAATATATATATTTTTAATTTCTCAGACATGCAGACCCGAGTTCGATCCCCGCCGGCACCAATGAAATTGTTAATTGCAATTGTGCTGATTTACCACGTGCTCGGCGGTGAAGGAAAACATATTGAGGAAACCTGCACGTCTGAGAATATAATTATAATCGAATGTAAATCAAATTGACATAGGTAAGTACAGATACAATTAGCGGAACATTAATAAAATTTTGAGATCGTTTTTTTTTTCAAAATTTTATTTATATTCCGCTATTTTTGTCTGTGCTTATATCAATTTGATTTACATTCGATCTCTAAATTGTAGTTTGCGAGGGTAATGGGGATCTATCAGCTCCGGCAAAACACATTTCTTATAAAAGCTATCTAATTTTAAAATTTTGTCTGCCGTCCAAAACGCATCATCTCTTTCAATAATATCAATTTCTATGCCAAACAGAGTAGTATCGAAATCCAAAGTTCAAGCAGGGGTCAATGTAGCGTAGTAATTTAGAGCGCAGGTATAGCTATAGTCATACAAACGTCACAGGCCGCAGCTGACTGAGTCGAATAAAACTAGAATAAGCGCGCGTCACCGCGCATGCATGTGTGTGTAAGTGTCGTCCTCCCGCACCGCACCGGGGGAAACATTATTCAGTAAGATGCACGATAATTCATATAAACACGCGCGCGTAAAAAAATACGAAAAGGCCTTTGGAAGAAGGGTTTTATGAAAAAACCACTGCATAAATCAATTACAAATAAAATTTATTGAATTCTTCGATAATTGAGCTGTGTCGGTACCGACTTTGTCTTGGAAATTTTACACTGCTTTTATTACTAATTCACGCCCAAAGTTGTGTTAAAATTGGCAATAAAAACGAATCTTTGATAGCTCGTAACTTTTTAATGACTTTTTATTTTACAATTCTGTTTCCGCACAGACAAAATTAATAATGAGACAAAACGATATCATTTTTAACTGTCACTTGTCTGTACTGTTGATGTACACTGTCAAACAGCGGAGTAAAACCCCTCCGAGATTTCTATGGAAATAATGTCGACTAGTGTCACCTTAAGCAGAAGAATGAATTAAAAACTATGTATATTACGGGGATTCTGGATAATTTGTAATATGGAAGGGAGTCCTGATTGGTTTCCCTCCGTCTGGCAATATACGAATATTCGTATATCGATATATGGTAAATTTTCAAAGAAATGAGTTAAACACTATCTTTGAAATTGTTTAATGGACCAATATTCGCAGTAAAACCTGCTCTCTAAATTACTACGCTACATTGATCCCTGCTTGAACTTTGGATTTCGATACTACTCTGTTTGTCATAGAAATTGATATTATTGAAAGAGATGATGCGTTTTGGACGGCAGACAAAATTTTAAAATTAGATAGCTTTTATAAGAAATGTGTTTTGCCGGAGCTGATAGATCCCCATTACCCTCGCAAACTACAATTTAGAGATCGAATGTAAATCAAATTGATATAAGCACAGACAAAAATAGCGGAATATAAATAAAATTTTGAAAAAAAAAACGAGCTCAAAATTTTATTAATGTTCCGCTAATTGTATCTGTACTTACCTATGTCAATTTGATTTACATTCGATTATAATTATATTCTCAGACGTGCAGGTTTCCTCAATATGTTTTCCTTCACCGCCGAGCACGTGGTAAATCAGCACAATTGCAATTAACAATTTCATTGGTGCCGGCGGGGATCGAACTCGGGTCTGCATGTCTGAGAAATTAAAAAAATATATATTTCGAAGACATGTGAAGTTCGTCAACACGCATTGAGG